AACCTCACTTCTTAGATGCAAGAAGTGAGGTTCTTACCCATGAAAGCTTATGCTCCCAATACTTCTGTTAGTCTTAAAGGTGCCACAGGACCCTCTGTTGCTTTTTACAGATTCAGACTAACACGGCTACTCCTCTGATATGGTAGTTTAAGGTACTAAAAGCTTCTCCTGTTAAACATCAGATTGTTCAGTCCGCATACACCGGGAGAGAAGACAGCAGCTAACCTTGGTAAACAGATTTAATTTAAATTTAAAGTTCTTAATATTTATTAATTTGCCTGTCTCCACACTGCTTTTTGAATTGGTTCTTTTATTAACTTTGTCCAATTTCATAGGATTTAGTTCAGGTCACTCACCTCTGCCTATTTATCGACTGTTTAGATTATCCATGATAAACCAAGCAGGATTCACTGACCCTTAGACAAAGCCCCTATGCCCATCTCTGAGTAAGGACTCATTGCTGAGTTGGGGAATAATGCACTCTAGTCCTAACTTACACAGAGGAGAGCATCCCACAGACCAGGCCCACACTTCAAGGTGTAATCTCTGAGGACAGCTCTCCGAGACAGACACAAGAGGAACGTGTAACTGAAGGAACCTTTGTTTTCTGATTGCTTGTGTTCTGTCTGGGATGAGATTTGTTTATCTTTTTCTTCCTTTCCTTTCCTTAGTTACAGGAGATTGGCAGTTAATCCTTGGGAGTATATTGCTTGTCTTTCATCACGCAGTGCCTCCCCTAATGCCTGCGAAGAACCCCATGTGCCTACGGTAGAGGGCATCACCTCCTTGAGTGGGCATTGAGATAGCCAATCAGATCTGGCCCCTACCTTTTCTTGTTTAGCTGCATTCTACATTTTTAGTATTTTAGGGGATAAAGTTACTTGGTGCTCAAGAATTTACAACACCCCTTCTTCCCCAACTGCCATTGCCCCACTGGAGTTCTGCTGCTGGCTGCTTTCTACCCACCCGTCTCGGGAGTAGGGTGCTTGTGGCCAGTCCCTGCCCGAAAGCTGGATCCCCAGCTACTCCTCTCCCTCCGCTCTCTCTCCCAGTCATGGGCTGCACTTCCTGAAGAGTGAACCCTGGTATAAGGTAGGGGAGGTGCTAGGGCTGAGCCCCTCCCCTGCGTATAGGAGACAAATTGAGTCACCTACATTCCCATGAAGAATACAGGATTTGAAACCTTTGCAAACTAGCTCTACTTGCTCTGAGCCTAAAGGTGGGTGGGTCTGGGTGGAAGGTGTGGCTCTACGGATCCCCTGCCTGTGCTGGTGAGTGCCAGGGAAGTCTCCCCTCCCTTCTGCTGATGGGACTGCAACCAGCTAGCGAGCAGCTGGTCAGGTCAGCATGGGCTGCAGAGAGTGCAGTGCTGACAGCTCTGGGGCTCACGGCCGAGGTGCCAGGAAACGGGCACTGGAAGTGCAGCCCTCCGAACTAAATGAGCTCATTCTGGTGGCTGTCTGGGTGGGGCTCTACTGAGTGAGTTTCAAAGAATCATAGAAGAATAGGGTTGGAAGAGACCTCAGGAGGTCATCTAGTCCAACCCCCTGCTCAAAGCAGGACCATCCCCAACTAAATCATCCCAGCAGGGCTTTGTCAAGCCAGGCCTTAAAAACCGCTAAGGATGGAGATTCCACCACCTCCCTAGGTAACCCATTCCAGTGCTTGACCACCCTCCTAGTGAAATAGTTTTTTCCTAATATCCAACCTAGACCTCCCCCACTGCAACTTGAGACCATTGCTTCTTGTTCTGTCATCTGCCACCACTGAGAACAGCCGAGCTCCATCCTCTTTGGAACCCCCTTTCAGGTAGTTGAAGGCTGTCATCAAATCCACCCTCACTTTTCTCTTCTGCAGACTAAATAATCCCAGCCTCGCCTCATAAGTCATGTGACCCAGCCCCCTAATCATTTTTGTTGCCCTCCACTGGACTCTTTCCAATTTGTCCACATCCTTCCTGTAGTGGGGAGCCCAAAACTGGACACAATACTCCAGATGTGGCCTCACCAGTGCCAAATAAACATCCGACCTGCAGCCTCAAACTGTCCCCCGCCCTGGAGCGACGCGGCCTGCATGGCACACTCACATAACGCAGAATCTACAGGCAAAGTGAAGGCCGGATCTTCAACTGAGGTAAATTGGTATCGCTCCATTGGAGTCAATGGACTAGATCCCCAGCTAATGTAGATCTGTAGAAGGGGATCCTTGGACGTATAAATGGGAGAATCTCGAGCAGAAGTAGATTGGTTGTGTTACCTCTGAATTTGGCACTGGTGCAGGAATCCTGGGTCCAGTTTTGGAGCCCACAATTGAAGAAGGAGGTTGATAAATTGGATAATGTTCAGAGTAGAGCCATCAGAATGATTAAAGGATTGGAAAACATGTTTTAGAGTGACAGACTCTAGGAGATTAATCTATTTAGTTTAAGAAAGAGAAGAGTAAAGAGGGGCTTGATTACAGTCTATAATGGGGAACAAAAATTTGATAATGAGCTCTTCAATCTAGCAGAGAAAGATATAACATGATCCAATGGCTCTGCCTGTTTTCAGCCCCTCCTCAGAGCTGTGCGCGCTTCAGTTGGTTCCTGGTGTGGGAGGGGATTGTGGGGCTCCCCTTTCTGCTCAGCAGAGTCACAGCTACCCCAAGCATAGCATTGCCCCGGGCCCACCATCTGCCCAGACCCGTTGTCTGCTCTTCAGCGGCCCCTATGCAGAGGGACTGTGAATGGGGGAGCCCTCAGAAGGCTCCACTACACCCAACTGGCCCGAACAGCTTTGCACTCCCCTTGAGGGCTGCTGCAGGAACCAGACTGCTTGCTGCTGTAACTTACCCTTCCCTGGGGGTGGTAGGGCTACGTGTGGGCCAGCCCCCTCTAACAGGGCACAGCCTGGCCTCTGTAGGGACTCCCCATACTGCCCCCAGGAGCTCCCTACTCTGCTGTCAGCCTTCTTCACTGTGAAGGGGTGGGAGCCAGCCCAGAGGAAAGGTACTTCTGTCTTCTCCTCCCCTGTGTGCACTGCTCTCCTCTCCTCCCCAATGCAGCTTTCCCTTTGACACTCCCCTCCCCCATGCAGCACTCCCTTCCTTTGATGCTCCTCTGGGCCGTGCTCCCCTCCCTTCGAGGCTCCCCTCACCTGTGCAATGCTCCCCTTCCCTCCCCTATGCAGGGCTCTCTTCCCCTCCCCCGTGCAGCATTCCCCTCCACACAGATGCTGTAGCTGACAGAGGCCTTGTCACCAGGAGATGGGCTGTTGCCCAGCAGCTGAGCCATGAGCCTGTCCTTGGCTTCCCCAAGCAGGGCACACACCTTCGCTCTCACACTGCTGTGCAGCTCCTTGGCGGGCTGGCATGTTCGCTGAGCTGGGCTAAGGCCTTTCCCCCATGCAGGTGTAAGGTCAACAGACCTCGGTTTGTGGTGGCTGGGATCAAACCTGGGCCCTCTGGAGCTTAATGTGTGAGCCTCTACTGCCTGAGTCACAAGACACGGGTCTCTTAGCCAAGGCTGTAGCATCAATCCCTAACTAGTCTAGGTGTCACTAGAGGAAGACAGAGCACCACATCCAGCAGGCCTGGGTTACCCAGGCTGTGTCCTCTGTGGGGATTGCATTTACCCTGCCTCCCTCCTGCACCCCTTGTGGCCTCTGCGCCGCACCTGGGGCAGCAGCTGTAGCTGAGCTGGCTCTCTGCCGGGGGCAGAGCCACATCAGCTGTGCTCGGGGCTGGGAAGGCGCTCATGGTGAGAGGGGCACCAGCCACTGCCCTGGAGCCCGCCAGTCATGCCTGAGCTGGGAAGTGCCTGTCAGGCCAGAGCCCGGGGACGCTGAGCTCCTTTCCCAGCCGGAAATGCCTCACCCTCCCGGCAGCCTGGGCAAACCTCCAGAGCAGGCCCAGCCGAGGAAACAGTACCTGCAGGCACAGCACTCTTCTGGCTCCCGGGGTTCCTGGGGGTCCCAGGCACGCTGCTCGGCCGTTCCCACGTGGTTTCTGTTCAAAGAGAACAGCACAGTGAGTGCACCAGGGCCCTATGAGCACGGCACAGTGCCATGGGTCACAGTTACAGAATGAATGGGTCACCCACCGCCCTGCCTCGGCCCCACACTGCCAGCTCCCTGTTTGGCCAGTGCAGTGCCACCCACTGCCTGATGCTTCCCCCCACCCTCCCACAGAGATCCCACCCCACCTTCCATCTGTGCAGCTCTCCTCGCCGGCTAACCTGCCTCCCCCTGCCTCCCCCATCCTGCCAACTTCATTAGCCATTTTTCCCTGCATCACAGGGTGTGCCACCTACTAGGGAGCAGTGAGAAGGAACATATTTGCAAAAAAACAAGCCCTGGCTAATGTGCTGTTCTCACCAAAGTGCACCTGGCTTTAGCAAAGTATTTAATTAGCCTCCACAGTCTTCTTTTCCTCACCAGGAGATTACAGTGATCTCAGCCCAAGAAGCCCTGGACATGCTCAACTGAGATGTAATGACATTGACTTATGTGCAACAGAATGTAGTGAGAAGAGTATGGAATGGATTTATATACAAAATTCCGTGGAGATTTTGTTTAGTGACATTTTTGACTCTGTTTGCGTGCTTAAACAGCAACATCTAGCGACTTTTCAGGGTTTGTCTGGCGACTTCCTGCTATGTGGAGTTGGCAACACTGAATTACTGTATGGAGAGGAGCCCTAGCTAGGGTCTCTGTCCTGCCCCTCTCTGACAGTGATTGCAAGGAGCCAGGATTGGGACTGGTGGCAGTGGCTTCATGGAAGCCATGGTCCCTTGTCTTCATGAGTGTTTGCTAGGTGAGCAGCTGATTGTGGGATTCAGCAAACTCTGACTGCTGAGGGTCTGTGCAGGAGGAGCCTGGGGAGATGGCAGAAAACCCCAGGCAGGGGATGTGGCTGTGTGGACACAGCCCGGCTGGCAAATCTGTGCTCTGCACCGGGGTTCTTGACTCCAGCCCCCGAGTGAAATAAGCTGTATGGATCAGTGTTGTCTGTAGAACAGCAGCTACACTAGCGGCTTTTGCTGGCACAGCTCTATCCGTTACAAATCAGACCCCTCACCATCAGAGCTATGCCAGCAAAAGGCTGTAGTGTAGACCTGGCCTCAGATCAGCAACCCAAAAAGGTGGCCCTGCCCAGAGGCAAACAAGGAAGGTGGCACCATTCACTGCAGGCAGAGCAGGTTACAACTCATACTACAAGACAGTACCAGCCTCAAAGTCAAAGCCATCCTAATACATGTCAGTAACCTTGTGGAACAGAGTTATGGGATGCATGCAGGGGTGAAAGTAATTTACGGGATTTACCGGTACTGCCGAAGTCCTGAGGGGGCGTGGCCTCATCCGAAAGAGGCATGACCTCATCCGGAAGAGGTGGGCCTCTCAAGATTTAAAGGCCCTGGGGCACTGGCTGTGGCTGGGAGCCCCAGGGCCTTTAAATCAACCCGGGGCTCCCAGCTGCAGAGATGGCTCCCCGGGGCTCAGGGGCAAATTAAAGGGCCCGGGGCTCCGGCCGCCGCGGAGCTCCAGGCCCTTTAAATCCCCACTGCAGCTCCAGCTGCCGGAGCTGCAGGCAGGATTTAAAGGGCCCGGAGCTCCCGCAGCTGCGGGGAACCCGGAGCCTTGCCGGGCTGGGGCTGGGATTTAAAGGGCCCGGAGCTTCTGCCGCTGCAGGGAGCCTCGAGCCCTTTAAATCCCAGCCCCAGCCCAGCCGCCAGAGCTGCGGGCGGGATTTAAAGGGCTCTGGGCTCCCCACAGCCGCGGGAGCCCAGAGCCCTTTAAATCCCCGCCGCGGAAGCTGGTGCGGTCTGGCACGGCGTACTGGCTCTTGCTGGATGCATGGCTCTGCTACTGCTGCCTCTTCAGCTTCAGCTCCAAGGAGAAGCACAGAGCAGAGGAACAAATAACTAGCTCAGCAAGGAAAGTGTGTGCAGGAAGATAACCTGTGACTCAGAGCATACAAAGGTGGGCCAGACCTTCCTGTCACATTCCTCGCCTCAGTGATTCCAGGATACCTCCACCAACAGTCATTTCTGGAATTGCTGGGGAGGGGCCTAAAGCTGAGAGGAAGCACATATGCACACTATTCACATGTGCTTCTTGGGCTCCCTCATGTGGTCAATTTTTCCCCCCATTGCGAACCCCAGATCAAATGTCATTTGCAGCAGCCAACATAGAGATAAAGACTCAAAGGAACTAAATGGCCCAAACAAAGGGAAATAATCGTAAGAGACAACCATGAAAATGTGGATGGAGTGTAAACAGCCCCAATGTCACCTGCCTGAGCAGAAACAAGAGCAGTAAGAGGTGGGAACTGCCCCAGTCATCTCAATCAGGGCTCTTGGACTCTGAGTCCACGAGCATGGAGTTAGACGTTTTACTGAGATGCCATTCAATTCCACATTTTGCTGCAGCTGGAGGCTTGATGTTTGCTGTCTCTCTGCTCTGCCAGGAATTGCCTCTTGAGCTGCAGCTTTCTGCAGAGGGCTCTCATGGGAGTTGTACTCCGCATTCCTCAGTCAGAGGTGAAGTCACCACAATGGTAAGTGGGTGGAGAGTGGCCAAAGGAGCCTGAAGATGCTACATGAGGGAACACATCCTGCCTGACCGGGCCCCAAGCGACCTGACCAGGGAAACAATTATGAACACAAGCTATGTGACCTGAGTGAATGAGAAGTGAGCCAAGTGTCCAGGGCACAGAAAAGGATCAGAAGGCGATAGCCGTGGGGTACGGTACAGAGAGGAGAACAGGAACTCTGCCATCCATGCTTTGGGGTTGATGCAATACAACCCTGAGCATCTCCTGCAGAGTCTCAACAACTGGCAGAGAGTAAATAGATGACAGGTTTCCATACATGGCACTAATCAGTTCAGGCTAGGGACTGAGTTAGCCACAGCAAAGAGCTTTCATTACTCTCAGCTGTATAGAGCCCAATAAGGCAGGGCAGCCGAAGGCTAAATCCCAATGCATTACAGTTGCTCCCCCTCTCACACACACACACAGATGGCTCACCTCAGCACACAAGCCAGACCAAGCATTTCTGAGGCCTGGAACACATAGGATGTAACTGCAGTGGGTGGGTTTCCTGCAGGAAGGGCGGCCAGCACATCCCTCAGCCTGCGCCGCTTGCCGCAACCCCCATTGGCCTGGAGCGGCAAACCGCAGCCAGTGGGAGCAGCGATTAGCTGAACCTGCGGATGCGGCAGGTAAACAAACTGTCCCGTCCCGCCAGGGGCTTTCCCTGAACAAGCGGCAGACCGGCTTTGAGAACCACTGATTTAGACCACCCCTGACAAGTATTTCTCTAACCTACTCTTAAAAACCTCCAATGACGGAGAATCCACAATCTCCCTAGGCAATTTATTCAAGTGCTTAACCACCTTGACAGTTAGGAAGTTTTTCCTAATGTCCAACCTACACCGCCCTTGCTACAATTTAAGCCCATTGCTTCTTGTCCTATCCTCAAAGGTTAACAAGAACAATTTTTCTCCCACCTCCTTGTAACAAACTTTTATGTACTTGAAAACTGTTACCATGTCCCCTCTCAGTCTGGGCTGAGGCCGGTGATACTGTTGTGTGCATGGCCTCTGATAAGGTTAAGTATCAGAGGGGTAGCTGTGTTAGTCTGGATCTGTAAAAGCAGCAAAGAGTCCTGTGGCACCTTATAGACTAACAGACGTATTGGAGCATGAGCTTTCGTGGGTGAATACCCACTTCGTCGCATGCATGCGACGAAGTGGGTATTCACCCACGAAAGCTCATGCTCTGATAAGGTTGATACCATTGTCTCCTGGGAAAGGATGGGTAAATGCCCACAGTATGCAGGGTCGCTCTAGAGTCTTTCATGGTGTGAAGAACTTCGTCGGGTTTTTTTTTTGTGTGTGTGTGAAAAAAGTTTATCTTTATCAAAGGGGAGATCCTCCACTTTGGTCTGCAGGTCTTTGGGGATACCGGATGCAGATAGCCTGGAAGATTTGCGCATATCCACTGCAGTTGCGGTAGTGCGGGCTGCTGTGTCTGCCATGTCTACAGATGCTTGTAGGGCCGTTCTGGAGACCAATTGGCCCTTGACAAGGACTGACTTAAAGTCTGCTCTCCTGTCCTCTGGGATATGGGAGGTAAAATCAAAGAGTTTATTGTAATTGTCAAAATCGTAGCTTGCAAGTAGGGCGGAATAGTTTGCAATTCTGAATTGCAGAGTGGAGAAGGTATAAACCTTGCAGTCCAAGAGGTCAAGGTGTTTGAGATTCTTGTCTTGAGGGGTGGGCCGGTAGTGTGGCTGTTTCATCCTGTGTGTCGCTGCATCCACTACAAGAGAATTTGGTTATGGATGGGAGAATAAGAAGTCTATATCCTTAGCAGGAACATAATATTTACGCTCAGCCTTTTGGCAAGTTGGTAAGATAGACGGTGGTGTCTCCCAGAGGGTGTCAGCTGGTTCTAGGAGTGCTTCATTTATGGGAAGCGCGATCTTTGAAGGCACAGAGGGTTGGAGGATTTTGAGGAGTTTGTGTTTCGTCTCCTGGACCTCCTCTAAAGGGATGTCCTGGCTGAGTGCCACCCTCTTGAAAAGTTCTTGGAATTGTTTAAAGTCGTCCACATTCTGGAGGCGGAGGCATGAGAGCTCTGTCTGGAGCTGATGGAGAGTTAGGAGTCGGTGAATCAGGGTATGGTTCATAGCCCACCTCTGCAGGGTGGGTTCAGGCGCTCTAGAAGTAGACGGAGCTGGAGATAGAGGCGCAGAAGGAGCTTGTGATCTGGTGGAAGAAGCATGAGGGCGAGTGGCAGTAGGAGCTGGCCACGGGTACCACTGAGGCCGAGGCATAGGATAAGAGAAGTAAGGCGCTGCCCATGGGGGTGGGGAGCAAAGTAGGGAAACTGAGGCTGGTGGTTGTGAGCTCTGATCTGAGGTGAAAAAGGTTCCAGTGGAGGAGGAGAGGCAGGTGGGGAGAATTCCGCCTGCTGCTGCATATCAGGCTCACTGTCAGTAA